GATGGGGCGGCCGTCAGGCTCAAAGGCGAGAACAGTAAGGGTCGCCATGGTTGCAGCGCAGTCAAAAGTAGCAGGCTCAGGCAGCAGGCTCAGGCAGCAGGCTCAGGCAGCAGGCAAAGACTGCAGGTTCAGGCAGCAGGCAAAGGCTGCAGGCTCAGGCAACAGGCAACTGTAGCAGGTAAGGAAGCACGCAGTTCTGTGACAGGCCGCGTGTAGGCTGGCGGGGCGCGACGTGAGCTGCGCGGGCGGTGCGCGGGCCGCGTGCGGACTGCGCGCGGGCTGCGCGGGCTGCGCGCGGGCTGCGCAGGCTCAGTGCGGGCCGCGCGGGCTCGGCGCGGGCTGCGCGCGGGCTGCGCGGGCTCAGTGCGGGCCGTGCGGGCTCGGCGTGGGCTGCACGGACGGTGCGCAGGGCAGCTGCGGGCCGCGCGGGCTCAGGGCGGGCTGCACCAGCGACCTACGGGGCGCGACGCGGCTGGCAGCAGCTGTGCGCGCTAAAAAAAAGGCGTGCGCGCGCAGCCGAGGCGCGCGCGGGCAGCAGGCTAGGCAGATACGTATGCAAGGCAGGCAGGTAGGCCGTTGGGGAGGTAACTTAGCACATGGTGGGCCCTTAAGCTTAGGTCTAGGAACCTGCTCTAGATGCCATGTCGAGAGAATCAGGCAAGGTTGAGTTCACTATGGAGAGTTTGGTACAAATAACAAAACCCTAAAGTGTTGTCTCCTACAACATCTACCCCACTACAGCCTACCAATATATATCACACATATATATCATTTGACACTCTCCCCTCCCTTCCCGTCGCTCTCTCTCTCGCCGCTCCCTTCCCGTCATGCTCTCTCTCGCCGCTCCCTTCCAGTCGCCCTCGGTCTCTCCCATCCCTTCCCGTCGCCCTCGCTCTCTCCCCTCCCGTCCCGTCGCTCTTGCCCTCTCCCCTCCCTTCCAGTCGCGCTCTCTCTCTCGCTGCCCCCTGCGCGTCGCTCTCTTTCACGCCACTCCCTTCCCGTCGCCCTAGATGCAGTCGTCGCAAATTCCTCTCCCACCCCCCATCACCCTCCCCATCGCGTTCCCGCTCGCCACGAAACGCCTTCCCGTCCCGCACCCACTTTCTCCTCCCATCGCCTGCCTCGCCGCCTTCGCGCTCGCACTCAAACGCGCTCCCCGCGTCCTTCCTCTCTCCCTTCCCATCAACCACCTCGTCGCCCTCGTGCTCGCCCCAAAATGCCTTCCCATCGCCTTTCGTCTCTTCTCCCCAATCATTAATCTCTGAAACGCTCTCCAGTCGCCCATCGTATCCACCCGGTTCATCACCGACCTCGTCGCCCTCGCTCTTGCTCTGTAATGCCCTCTCCGCGCCCTTCCTCCCTCCCCTCACAATCTGTCTTCCCTCCCCGCATCCCGTCATTCTTCCTCTCTCCCCTCTCATCTGGTCGTTCCTCCTCTCTTCCCTCCCATCCCGTCGTTCTTCCTCTCTCCCCTCCCATCCCGTTGTTCCTCCTCTCTTCCCTCCCATCCCGTCGGTCCCCCTCTCTCCTCTCCCATCCCTTGTTCCTCCTCTCTTCCCTCCCATCCTGTCGTTCCCCCTCTCTCCCCTCCTCTCCCGTCGCCCCCCTTGTCCCCAGTCCCTTCTCTTCGCCTTCGCTGTCGATCAATCAACCGTCCCGACGCCCTCCCTCTTTTCGTACATCATAGATTTATTTATTTATATCTTCTTCGCCTGGTTTCACCTATGCGTGCCATGGATTTTGCTTGATCATGCCTGTGTGCGCGCTGGATTTTGCCTGATTTTGCCCGTGTTAGCGCAGGAATGGGCCTGTTTTTGCCTCTGTGCGCACTGGATTTCGCCTGTGTGCGCGCTGGTTTTTGCATACAGGGATTCTTGTGAAGTTACGACGGCTGCTCTGGTGAATGTGGGATTGCAGCCCTGCGCCAAATTCGCATAGGAATGTGGGTGAAAGTCGCCACCAATCAGATTCGTTAACAAGTTCCACATGTTTCCCGTTCAGATCAAGACTCGTCTGGGATGAAAAAAATAAAAACGCACAGCACGTCAACTTTTCAAACGTTCGTAAGAGACTTGTGTTTTCAAGTGGACCCAACTAGAAGGGGGGGGTCACTATTTTAGCTGCTGGCTTTAATGCGGGGAGCTTTGGTTGGAACAGCGGTCAACTTCATTCAACCTTCATTGGTGCATTATTCACTCATGCTTGGCTGTTCAAGTCCATGTTAGCACCCAGAAGCCCTATAGCATATGTTCTACGGTAGCATTGCCATTAGCAAATCTGAGCTCGTGCCTATAACGTACAAGTACGTTTCCGCTGCCCTTGCACATCAATTCCCTAGAAATGTGAACTCTTTCTGCATACGGTATCTCTAGAGCTGATGCGCTGTGGTACTGTATTTCAATTTATGATTTCCTAACAAAGTCATAGTCCGTCACACTCGCCTCCAATCACACCATGACTCGCGAGCACGACCACATTCAACTTCGTGTGACATGTGACTTCCAGTTCCGCCTCCTGCGCATTTCTCCTTTCCCACCCCCTCCCATTCCCCCCCGTATCCCATCCCATCCCATCCCCTGCCCCCCACCCTTCCCCTTCCCCCCCTACCTTCCCCCGCCTCTCCCCCCCTTGAATCACTCGCTTCCGCACCCCCAGTATGCACACCATTGCACCTCCGCCGCATTTTGTGTCAACCAGACTAGAGTCTAGTCTTAGACATTCGCACTGCATCCGCCATGAGTGTAAGGTTGAGTGTCGCCACTCCTCACTCTCCAAGTTATCTCTTCTCCCAGCAGCGCTCATCGCGACGAGCCATAAACTCCAACGCAATCGAGCTCATGTATAAGAGGATCGAGGGGATAGAGGAATACTTTAAACAGTAGCTTACCTGTGTTTTGGCAGTCCGCACTTCGCCTATCGCCCATTCGCCAATCCACCCATTAGCAGGACAGCCGTCGCCTTTCAACGGACGCACCGCGATGGAGCGTCGGATGTCGCCACTGCACCAAGCCTTCGCCAACAGCCCTTCGTTGCAGCATCGTCTGCCCAGCAACAGTATTTTGGACAGAATCCCCACATTGGAGCAGCTCTCACACAGACAGGACGAGTCAGACAACAGTTTCGCCCGACGAAGCTCCGAGGATGCTTCCAGCGTGTCGACGGGCGTCCTCGACGCCCACGCCGAAACTTCCTGGACGGTGTGGTCTGCGGAATCAGTGGTTTCTGTTCCCTGTGCTCCCGCGGCGTTCCAAAATCCCGCGCATCCTGCATACCCGCAGCCTAGCCAGGGGTCCGGCGTTGCTGCCGCATCTGCCGCCGCTCCTTCCGCGCATGGGGCTCCAGAAGCCGCGGGTTCCGCGCCCACCCAACTCCCCCGGGAGTTTTTTGAGGCGCTGTCTGACTTATCCGACCCGAAACCCGGCGAGACGGAAAATCGCTTGCGCTTACGGCAGCTCGCCGGTGCGCGGGAGATTAAAGGCATGGCTCGCGACAAGGCGGCGTTGTGCGGTTCCATGGTTGAGAGGGGAGCAGCTGAAGTGCTGGTGTCGGTTGTAAACGGCGTGATAGAAGCGGAGGAACGAAAAGAGTTGATGGATCTGCGCTATAAGGTTGCTGAGGAGGCAGCTGCTGCGCTGCTGAATCTGTCTCTAGATAAGACCGCCAAGCACATGATGAGGAGCCGTGGCGTCATCCCTTGCGTTGTGAGATTGGCTGGCGTCACACGTGGCAGTCCACACAGCCATGATGACCCAGACGCCAGGGGTAGTCGTGACTTACCCTATGATGCTCAGCAAGATGACTTCAGTAGCTTTTCCGAGAATGGCGCTCGCTCGCCGCCGAGCACCAGCGCGCGGAGCACGAGCGCGCCGTGCACGAGCGCCAGCCCCGCGCGATTGCGTCTTAGAGAGCTCGCAGTGGAGATAATCCACAGTCTCGCCAAGGCGCCAGCGCTGAAAGAGGACTTAGTGGATCAGTCCGTGGTGGAGCCGCTGGTAGGCCTGCTGAGGGAGCCAGCATGCAGCACGAAGGGACGGATGCACGCGCTGTATACGCTCTACCTCTTATCAATGTGCGGACCTGGAAGAAGCGCTCTTGTGAACCGAGGCGCTGTGCCTTTGCTGCTGGAGGTGGCGTTATGCGGTATGCAGAAAGGCAGCCATCTGTATGCAGAGCAGTCGGATAGGTTCTTTGAAAAGGCCTTGCACGCACTGGCAAATGTTTCTAAGGAGCAATCAGGGCGTTCTGCCCTGGTAAACAGCAAAACTGATTACTGGTTCTGTGAAAATGGTGCTGCTGGCTCCAACGTCAACCCTCAAAGTGGACATGGAAGCTGCATTCAAGTATCAGGACTGCAAGGGCTTTTCAAACTGCTCGTGAATGAGCGTGGGTTGATGCAACATCATGCCCTGACAATTCTGCATCAGATTATCAGAAATGCTGGGAAAGGCAATTCCAGTGAGCAAGTTTTGGAGGAGATTTGGTTCTTGCTGCAGAAGGAAAAGCCGAGGCGACATTTCAAGGCTTTAGCAAATGCTGGATCTCACAAAGCTCAGCAACTTTTGATGGTTTTGTTTCCTGTCGGAGTTGCAATTGAAGCAGGAAAACGCTGATTTTCTTCCTGCAAAACATTAATATCGTCAGGTTCAGTCTGGTTAATTATACTGGTATGTGACTCTGTAATTTGGTTGTATTGTATCCACGTAAGCTGGATTCCTCGTTCGGTATTATATGCTCATTTGAGTCTGCTTGTACGTCACCAGCCCACCAGCCCGCCTGCATTCGTGTGCTGCACGGTCCCCCTTTTGTACACCCCTCGTTTCTTCTTGTCAACCCGCCGCCATTCCGTGAGTGTCTAGACTAGAGCGTTTTGGGTTTGTTCATTTCTACTGGCGCGGCCTTGAGTGGATAGGTCGGGAAGGGACGTTGTCAAAACATCCCGACTTCCTCCTCTCCAGCGTTGCTCGTCGCAACGAGCCATGAACTCCAACTCGATCGAGCTCATGTATAATAGGGTCGAGCGGATGGAGGACTACTTTAAACAGTTGCGTTCCCGCGTTTCGCCAAACGCCCATTCGCCAATCCACCCCTCGGCAGGACAGCCGTCGCCTCTCAACGGAGGCACCGCGATGGAGCATCGGATGTCGCCACTGCACCAGCCATTTCCCAACAGGCCTTCGCCGCAGCAGCATCCGCTCAGCAACAACATTGATAACAGAGTCCCCACATTGGAGCAGCTCTCACACAGACAGGAGGAGCCAGAAGACGGATTCTCACGACGAAGCTCCGAGGATGCTTCCAGCGTGTCAACGGACGTCCTCGACATCCACGCGGAAACTTCCTGGACGGGGTGCTCTGAGGATTCAGCGGCTTCTGTTAACCCTGCTCTCGGGACGTTCAAAAGTCTGGAGCATCCCGCTTCGTATCACTCGCAGGGGAGCCACGGCGCCGGCGTTGCATCTGCCGTCGCTCCTTCCGCGCGTGGAGCTCCAGAAGCCGCGGGTTTGGCGCGCACTCAACTTCTTCCGCAGTTTTTGGAGGCGCTGAACTACTTATCCGACCCGCAGCCCGGCGAGTCGGAAATTGACGTGCTCTCGCGGCACCTCGATGGCGCGAAGGATTTGAAGCTCATGGCTCGCGACGCCGCGGTACGCAGTTTCATGGTTGAAATGGGAGCAGCGGAGGTGCTGGTGTTGCTTGTAAACGGCGTGTTAGAAGCGGAGGAAGGGAGTGAGTTAATGGATTTGCAGTATCAAGTTGCTGAGGAGGCAGCTGCTGCGCTGCTGAATCTGTCTCTAGATAAGACCGCCAAGCACATGATGAGGGGCCATGACGTCATCCCTTGCATTGTGAGGTTGGCTGACGTCACACGTAGCAGTCCAGTCTGCCACGATGACGCCAGGGGTAGTCACGCCTTACCCAGCAGTAATCAGCAGAATGACATCAGCAGAGGTTCTGACGGTAGCACCTGCAATGCCAGCGCCAGCTCCGCGCATTTGCCTCTTAGAGTGCTCGCGGCTGAGATAATCCAGTCTTGCTATGGAGCCATCGCTGAGAGAGGATCTAGCGGTTCCGGGCATCGTGAAACTGCTGGTAGGCCTGTTGAGGGAGCCAGCATGCAGCAACAAGGGACGGGTGAGCGTGTTGTATACGCTCTACTTCTTGTCAAAGCGAGAATATGGGAGGTTGGCTCTTGCGTATCACGGCGCTGTGCCTTTGCTGCTGGAGGTGGCGCTGTGCGGTACGCAGAAAGGCAAACATTTGTACGAGAAGCAGGCGGAAAAGTTCTTTGACAAGGCCATGGAGGCACTTGCAAATCTGTGCGAGGAGAGATCAGGCCGTTCTGCTTTGGTAAGAAGCAGAGTTAATTACTGTTTTTGTGAAGATGGTGTTGGTGGCTCCAACGGCGATCCTCAAAGCGGACATGGAAGCTGCATGGAAGTTTCAGGACTTCAAGGGCTTTTTAAACTGCTTGCAAATGGGCGCGAGCCGATGAAACAGCATGCTGTTTTAATTCTGCACCGGATTATTAGAAATGTTGGAGAAGGCAGTGAGCAAGTTTTGGACGAGATTTGGTCTTTGCTGCGACAGGAAAAACCAAGGCCACATTTCAAGGCTTTAGCAAATGCTGGCAAAGTGGCGAAAGAAGCCCAGCAACTTCTGAGGGTTTTGTTTCCTTGTGAAGTGGCAAAAGCAGCAGTCAGTCATATGCTGACTTCTCCCGTAGAAACTTTCATTCCATAAACCGGAAAAGGCTCGGTTTGGTTGAATTTGTGCAACACACATACAGGCGTGGCAGCAGGTGCACTTGTGCAGGGCACAGAGGCAGTGATATGGCTTTCTGACGTAGCCCTTACACTGAATGGTGTGCTGCTGTGCAGGAATTTGTATGGATGTACGACACATGCATAAAACCTGGCTGGACTTGTGCTGGATTCTTAGCCCTCGATGTTTTTTGTCTTGATCTACACCAAGTCAGAGCTTTCTGCTGGGGTAAAGGGTAAACAAAAGTTTCGCCTTCACTGGCACATTAGTCACACAGGTAGCTCCTCAAGTCCATCAAGACACTTCTGAGCATGCAAAGCAACACTATCAGCAACTTTGTGAACCAAATTCATGTGACTCTCCAACATGCCTTCCAGACGCACTGCTGTCTCTTTCATCTCTTCCATCGCTTGAAGCTCTGCCTGGCCCTGCTGTTTAAGCTGCACGTCACAATCCTGCTCATAAAGGGACAAAGCTTGATCAGCTCTTGGGCAATGCCATCATGCCAACAAGAACAATGAGAAAAAACGCACCTGGTTCTCCTGCCTCAGAGTGTCTAGACATGTTGCTCGCTTTTCGATTTCCACGCGTGCCAGTAATTCGCGCCTTTTTACGTCTTCTAAGCGCGCCTGAACTTCCTGCTGAGCACGCTGAGATGCCTGCGCCATCTCTTCCTCCTCCTGCACAACAATGCACACATGTTTAGCTCCAAAACAGGCCCGTTGCAACATCTTTGTACCGTATACAGAAATGCATTTTAAGCTCATGCAGTGCCAGTGCAAGGTCCATTGAGATAACCTACCCGTTTTTTCACATCCTCCTTGGTTTCCAGCTCGGCAGCAATCTTAGCAACCTCTTCCGACTCCTCAGCCAGCTGTATGTCCAGTGTTGCCAGCTCCTCATACAATCGCTGTTCTTTCGAAGAGTACTTTTGCGTCACTTCTTGAATAGCTGCACGGATATCTGCCTTGGGCATGCTGTCAGACAACACATCCCGAATGTTTGTTGCATGCGGATTAACTCGTACAGAGAAGCAACGCCCCTGAGCATGCTTGCTGCAGGGAGGGATAAGCTTGAGCCTGCACAACATTTTAAACGAGTTAAGAAAGGAAAAAGTTACAGCCAAATATTCCACTGAAACTATCACCAACCTGGTCGCCATCTCATTGAACTTGTTTGCTGATTGCTCAATCCCCTCCATGGTCTTGACCTTTTGAACCTCCTCTTTGCATGCCTCCTTTTCAACTTGCAACCGACTTTCCTTCATGGCTTGTAACACTGTGTTCCTGCCAGCTAACCTCTCTGCCATGCGTTCTATGTCTTCTCTCGAGAATCGCTGTTCCTCAATCCGCTTCTGAAGCACTGCATTGCTTGCCTGAATGCTGATTGTGGTCTCGGTGCTATCCTTCAGCTCTTGCTGTTTAACCAGCAAGGTTTCCTCGATTGTCTGGAACATTTCGCAGTGTTAGTGTCGGTTTAGCGTAGCAAAAGACAGAAACTTACTGTGACCCACTTGTAAGTCGATCTTCCCTCGTTCAGTCGCTTTGACCAACTCGCCCTGCAGCTTTTCGAGCGTTGCTTTGTCCTCCAATAGCTTTTCGAATTCAGACCTATCCTGTTTGCGCTTCAAGGTGGCCTGTGGCACGGAAACGAAACGTTGTCAACTTATCCTTGCTTAGAAACAAAATCCAGCGGTACCCACTTACCTCCTTCCTCAGAAGTTCATCTCGAAGTTTTTGCACGTCGCTTTCCACCTCCTGCCGAGCTCCTTCAAAATAAGCCATGAACTGTTGCATTATGTGCTCGATTCTTGTGTCGGAAAGCTCCTCGGTTTCGGCGTTCATGAAAATACAGTAACCCTCCTTCATGAACTCAAAGAACACAGCCCTGCAATGCTCCTCATCAAGCAACGTCTCCAAAGTCGGGCTTGTTAGACTACTCTCAAAGCTTCGAGCTGTCGACGACGCAGGTTGTGCTGGCATAGCTCCGGGATCGGACGTAGCATCAATGAAGATAAGCGTCTGAACAAGCCAGTTCAGCATCGCAAGCAAGGGTGGCCATGTGTGGGGAGTTCCAGCCTGCTGCAGAGAGCTTCGAGAAAGGTTGTACGGATAATGCAGCCCCTTCATGACTTCCAGAATGTCATCTTCGGGTTTGCTTCCGTACTTGAACTTCGGATCCATCTGCTTCATCAAGAACTCGAAGATCTTAATGAAGAGCTTACCTGACGGAAGCTGGAGCATGCTAGGATTCAGCGAGTTATCAAAACCATGGTCCTCCAGAAATGAATAAATGGTCTGAATGCAGTCTGCTTGGTAGTTTTTGTCTTTCAGCGGACGAGGGTCCTCTCCGGGCTTCTTTACTGAGCTATTTCTGCTGTGAGATTGGGGATCGATGGTGGACCCTCCCTTGCCGAGGAGAGAGACGCGGCTGGGCTGGATAGCAGAACCGATTGCCGAAAAACGTCTTGATGAACTAGGAGCGGCGACAGGAGTCTCAAAGCTCGAACCAGACGATGAGGGGCGTGACTTGGATAAAGTAATAGTCTTTGGCGTGGCTTCGAAATCATTGCCTTGATTTGGTAATGGAGTGCACGGAATTCGGCTGATTGACGGAGGTGGTGGAACTTTGAACATCCCAGCACTACCGACGCTTTGATTCCGTTTTTTCAGCCTTGAATCCATTAGGAAGAAAAAGCAGGGGACGGGAAAGAAATGGCTGACGACGGAGATAGCCAGGCAAGGAGCCCGAGCTGATAGGTACTAATGAGTAACTGGAGTGACTGAAATGGGTCTGGTAGGCTTGAGAGCTTATAGCTTCCTATTATTCTGGCTCGAAATTTCGAACATGATCTGAACATTTCTTGGGGAATCCCAAGGGGCTTCGCATGCACAGTCTTTCTTTCAGAATGATTCGTTTACAGCTGCATACACCTGTTTTATTTACTTACACCCCAATCCCAAATCATATGCATCGTACCTCCTTTTGAACCAAACTTCCCCGACTTCCCCAGCCCCCGCTTCAGTAACAATCCACCACCGATTTGAGCCTGAGGACGCGGCACCTGTTTCCAAATTGCCACGATCGGAGGAGGATCGGGCTCTCACATCGATCCTGCCACGATCGATGGGCACACGCTCAACTGCCTTTTTTCGATCGCCTGGACACACCGAGCCTCAGGTGCCACGATCGCAAATTTCTGGGGCAAATTAACCCCGATCCCCACAATTACGCGATCGATGTGAGGGCGCAGGCACATCGATCTTGCGAGCCACAGGTGACACTTTTTTTCTGACATATTTACTGTACCAAAACGAAAATATGCGAAGACGGATACCATACCTTTGGCGACGTCGTCAAAATACTGTAGAGCCGACATATCGATCCCCGCGAGGATCGATCGTGGCATCGTGAAAACAGGTGCCGCGTCCTGAACCTAGAAGTTGGGGAGCGGTGTCGGAGTTCCCGCCAAGTACTTGGAAGATGTTAGGCCAAGGACGTTCGCTTTGCTGCCCGAATGTGGATTTCATTTGCTCCATTACTCAGTTCGTACTGACTGACTGATACTGCAAACGCCTCCATATTTCACTGATACTGACTGATCGCCTGGCGGATCTTCGACGTAGAATTCTGGAGCTTGTTGGTGCTAGTCCGGCTGTACGAGTCAAGCCGTTTATAGCGAAATATTCCCGTCTCCGTATTCCTGCACGTGTCGCCGCGTCCATAATCCAAGCTAACAGATAGATTGTTTCGCTCTCGTTCTTCGTTAACAGGTCGATCCTCGAGGCCGATCCTCGATGTCCCGACCGCAGCTCTTCGTTCCCCAGCAGGGGCAATCAGGACCGTCCAATTTGCTACCTTCGGGATGGCAATCCGTTCCGCAAGTGAGTCTATGGCTCCACAGCGTGGTACTTTACGGTTTGGAGGCGTAGGAAGCACACACGGAGAGCGTGGGAAAGTCAGATGAGAGTTGCTGTGAATTTCGCGTTCTGTGTTATCGGTCGTCGTAGCATGCTCCTAGACCGCAGTTGAGCCTCAACTCGCTTCCCTTGTCATCCTTTATATCCGGCAAATCTTAATCACTTGGATCGATTTTCTTCCTTCCGTGTCTATCCAGGGCCCTCCTGGACCGTTTGATCAATTCAGTGGACCGCCAGGATTCCGTCCACCGGCAGGCGGAGCAGGGATGCAGCAGCAGCCGCCGGGATTCGGCTTCGGTCCGCCACCTGGACCTCCCAGTGGAATCGGCGGAGGTGGCGGAGGTGGCGGATTCGGATTCGGGGGACCTGCGCCTGGCGGGGGACCCATGGGTCCGCCGGGAATGATGGGAGGACCGGGCGGAGGAGGAGCGGATGCGGGTCATAACCCGTTAAATGACATGCTCGCGGGGGCTGGGTCAGGGTTCATTCGGTCGGGCCTGGGTGCTTATGGCGAGCGGCTACTAGGGAGCAGTCGTGCCTACGTTCAAAACAACGTGAGTGGCTTGTTGGCATTGGGAAGGGCGTGCACCTGCAGTCTAGGGATGGTGGTTGAGCCGGTTGCAGTCTCTGTCTCTGTGTGTCTGTGTGGCTCGGTGTCTCAATGACGGATGCCCTATGGCAAGTCGCCTCCTGAAGTGGCAGGAGACTGTGAGCGCAGTGGGTTTCCCGTCTCTATTCCTCCTCTTCTCCATCTCTTCTCCATCTCTTCTCCATCTCTTCCCCATCTCTTCCCCGTCTCTTCCCCATCTCTTCTCCATCACTTCCCCATTTCTTCCCCATCTCTTCCCCATCTCTTCCTCATATACTCCCCATCTCTTCCCCATCTCTTCCACAACACTTCTGCACCTTCACGTTGCTCCCGTTCTCACCCCATGTGCTGTGTGTGCAGGTGGGCAAGTACTTTGCATCCACGGACTTTCACTACTACTTCCATGTCAACGATGCCTACGTGCGCAACAAACTCAAAATCATTGTCTTTCCGTTCCTACACAAGGTACACTCGAATAGTATGGTGAACCTCGTTAATATACCGACGACTTGTTTGAACGGAATAAGCCTGAAGACATCGGACCTCCTTTTGCAGTCCCGCACAATGTATGATAGAGTCTGCCTATTTTTATTCGATGTAGCGAAACAGGCTCACTGGAGCTCCCCTCCCAGTCCTGAACAAGGTGCTGTAAAAATTTCCAACCTTCCCTCCCAAGCCTCATCAACTTCCACCCACCTGTCCTATCCATCCATCTGACCCGTTTGCGTCCAATCTCAGGCGATTCGGGACGACACACTTGTGTACGTGTCCTTTCGTTTCTGCTTTAAATACACAATTGAGTCTCTTTGTCAGCATGCTTCACTTGCACCCATGGCAGGGCCACTGGATGAGGGTGGCGGAGCAGGTGGCCGGGGGGCTGACATACAAGCCGCCATGCCCTTTGAGGCGCCTCAAGAGGAAACCCATTGAGTCCCTTGTCAGCATGCTTCACTCGCATGATCACATCCATGGCAGGGCCACTGGACGCGGGTGGCAGAGCAGGTGGCCGGGGGTTTGACCTACAAGCCGCCATGCAATGACATCAACGCCCCGGACCTCTACATCCCTGCCATGGCCTTCGCCACCTACGTGGTGCTCGCTGGACTCTCCGCTGGTCTGCTGGGCAGGTAGAGAGTGACTGAGGGGCGAGATGCTGTCATTGAGGGTTAAGGGGTAGGTTGAGATGTTGGATTTGAGGACCTGACCTATAAGCCGCCATGCAATGACATCAACGCCCCGGACCTCTACATCCCTGCCATGGCCTTCGCTGCTGGCCTGTTGGGCAGGTAGGGAGGGAAGGAGGGCTGAGATGTTGGGTTTGACATACAAGCTGGGGCAGGAGCAAGTGAGTTGGGGGGTGAGTTTAGGGGTGGCGGAGCAGGTGACTTGACCTGCCATGGCCTTCGCCACCTACGTGGTTCTCGCTGGACTCTCCGCTGGGCTGCTTGGAAGGTAGGGAGTTTGAGTGAGGGATGAGGTGTTGGTTTTGATGGGTGAGATGTTGGAGTTCATGTGTTAGGTGTAGGGATTGACAGGTCAGAGCTTGTTTTTCTTTCAAGTGGGTGTGGGGCGAGGATTTCTGGAAAGAAACATTGGATCACTTACTGGTTTTGCTGCGAATGCCTTCCTCAATTCAAAGTGTGATTTTATCTTTTTTGCGGCATGCAGGTTCGCCCCAGCATTTGTGAATGCACGTGTTGGCAAGGGATTAATCGGGTGGTTTCTGGAGGTGCTGCTGCTTCGAACGATACTCTACTCGTTGGCATCAGGCGATGCTCCACTGCTCGACCTCGTGGCATACGCTGGCTACATGTTTGTTGGAATCTCCCTGACAAGCCTCTCTTGGGTCGTGTGGCGGATGGCCTACTTTCCGGTTTTGATTTGGACAAGGTGAGTGGTTGAGGGCTAGCTGGTCCATTAGAGAAAGGTAGTAATGGTAAAATTTGATTACACAAGGGTAGTTCTGTTGTTCACACCCTTCAGGTGGATCTTCCTTCTTCGATGAATCAGTTCTGGGGTCAGGAATCCTGACTCAAGTTGTGCATCATCATATTGCGCTGTTCTTTAGTTGTGTTTGTTTGTTTGTTCCTTTTTCCCGTTGCAGCTTGTGCATGGCGATGTTTCTTGTGAAGACAATGAAGCGGGTAATGTTTGCGGAGACCCGGCACTACGACCGTGACTCGTCGCGACACCGGTACATGCTCCTCGCCATGGGTGCTGCACAATTTCCTTTGGCATTGTGGCTTGGCAAGCTTTAGACGACCTCAATAAATCCCACGATAGGTTCATAAAGAGCACAAATAAGGAGATCCTCTAGGTTTATTTGTCTTGTGTTTTTAGGCGATATACATGGGCTGTAGACTAACATAGCTTGCATCTGTATGCTGTGCGGGGCGCACTCAAACACAGTTGTGTTCTTGTGACCCTTGGATGATTCGAACGGCTTAGATGACGCCGACTGTTCCCGCGTTTGCCAGTGGCCGTTGGTTGTCACTGCTGTTCTGTCTACTCATGCAACGATGTTCGCGAGGAATAAGTCTCCCAGGTTCATGCTGCCAGTTTGGTTTGGACTTCTTCATTTTCCAGCTCCCATTCCTGCTCGTGCGATTTCGAAACTTCAAAATCCCGTCTGCTGCCGTCTGGTGTCTGTTCCCCGAATTTGTTAGTTCAAGGGTCGGTTGGTTCTCCATTGTTTTCTAGGTTGGTGATCATGGCTGACGACGAGGATGAGCAGCTGCAACGGGCCTTTCGCATGAGCTTAACGAGTCATCCCGCAGCAGACTCCTCCCCACGAAACCCTCAGACAAGCAGCAGCGGTATCAATTCCCAGTCCACCGGCGGATTGAATACCAGTCCTGACCATTGCCGCCCATCCGCGAAGCGCAGCAAATCTGAAGATGAAGGATCGGATCCCGGACAAGCGGGAGGGGGTGGTGGTGGCTATAGCGGGGGTTCTTATAGCGGTCGCGTGGCAGCGCGACCCGAGACGGCGGAGGAGCGCGAGAGACGGATACAGCGGGAGATTCGAGCAGCAGCCGCGGAACGACGAATGGCTGCTTTAGGAAAGCCCAGTGCAGAATCGGTCAAATTCAAATCAGCTAATATCGGATCAGCCGTAGCCTCCTCGGGATCTCCAGCTGTTCCCGCCTCGAGCCGTCCTCATAGCACTTCTGACAGGCCCGATCCACATGTAGATAAGGCTCCCACGAGTGCTTCTGCTCCTGCCAATCCCGTTCCGCCATGTGTCCACGATGTTGACATGGCGGATCAGGCATGTGATTCGCTGGCAGCGCAGACTAGTGGAAAGGCGTCAGTAGAAGGCAAGACAGGAGACGTGAGGGTGTCGGGAACCCGAGACGCGAGTTTAGGAGGGAAAATTACAGAGGGAAGCGCAACGGAAGCTGGGGGATCCCAATCGAACTTGGCTGTATTTGAAGGATCTGGCATTGGGGGGTCTGGGAATGCTCGTACAGCAGGTGGTGGGGAGGTTGGGGTGGGTGGAGAGGGGTGGAGGGAGGCGGAGAGGCGTTGGGAGGCTGAGCAGGGGTTGGCGGAGTTGCCATTGGACGACGCGTTTCGGCTGTTCGACATGGTGTTTGGGCGAAACCCGCCTGCTGCTACCCTCTCGCAGTGGTCCCGACAGGGCTTCAGGTGATTCATCACAGTTTCAGTATAGTTCCGGTTTACTTCTTTAACGTTCTATGTATACATCTCCTCATCATTCCTCGCAGCCCTCGTTCTCCACCCTCTCTCACTCGCTTTCTACCCCTCTCTCTTATCACTCACTCTGCCGCCCTTCTTGCCTCAGGTTCAGTGACGATCCGGCGACTTCGCTAGGATTGGTGCATCCAGTCCCTCATTCTCCACCTTTCGTATCCTCCCTCACTCCCTTTCCCAACCCCCTCTCTCCTTCTACGATCGCCCTTCCTGTCTCAGGTTCAGCGACGACCCAGCGACTTCGCTAGGGCTGGTGCAGAGGGAGGGAGGGCCGTGCGGGGTGCTGGCGCCAGTGCAGGCGCTGCTGCTCAAATACCTCCTCTTCCCCCCCATGCCCGCGCACCCCGCGGATTCCTCCCCGCCTTCCGCTTCCGCCGCCCTTGCTGCTGGTACTGCTGCTGGTACTGGGGAGAGGAATGCTGGGCAGCAGGGGGGGCAGCAGGCGAGGAAGGAGGGAGAGGGAGGATGGGAAGAGGATGATATTAGGTTTTATGACTCGATGCCTGGTCTGGATGTTCAAGGTAGAGTGTATCCTAGAGCATCTGCTGCTGCTGCTGCAACTGGTGCTGCTGCTGGTGCTACTGGTGGTGGTGTGGCTGGCACTGTCACTGGCGCTGCCTCTGGTATGGTTGCTGTGGCAGCAGGAGAGGGGGAGGGAGAGGGTTCGGGCGACTCTGCTGCGCTGCCAGGCTTGGAAGCAGTAAGGGACGGAGACGGGGAGGGGGGAGAAGAAGAAGAGAGAGGGGAAGCTGCTCTGATCTTCTCGCAGGTTGAGAGACGAAGGTAAGCAGCATGCGTAGTGAAATGGAGGGATTGGCTTGTCAAATCCCTTCCAGATGGGGCCTTTGTAATGTGTCGCATCTCCACATTACTTTCTCACAATTTAGTGTCACTTCTCTTTGTTGCCTGTCCAGCCATGCCATGCCTTGCTAATCCGTACCTCCCTCCCGAACCCATTCACCTCTCTCTTCCTCCTTTTCCCCCTACCCCTTCTTCCCCACTCTCCCCCTCTTCTCTTCCTCTGCAGGGCGCTGGTACTGGCAAAGGCAGAGTCATTGTGGGTGCCGAGCAGAGGGCAGAGAGTCGTCATTGCTGCTCTGTCACCTCACAGGCTGGTGGAATTGGCTACACAGTCGGTCACCTTTCTATAACAACATAAGATATTGGCTTTTTGTACCCACTTCTCCCTGCTGCAGAGCGCTGGTGCTGGCAATGGCAGAGTCCTTATGGGTGCCAAGCAGGGGGCAGAAAGTCGTCATTGCTGCTCTATCACCTCACAGGCTGGCTGCTTTGGCTGCTTCAGCCTCTCAACAACCGCTGACCAGCCCAATCAGCGACGCGACAGCACTTCAAGGAGCAGTCAGAGTGCGACACCTGGCGGGGGCGTCGCACGCTGACGTGGCGAAGGCGCTACACCGGCTGTTCCCGGTGTTTGAGAGTGACTTTGGCGCGCTCCTGCTGCTCTTCTCAGTGCTGCTCTCCCGGGGACTTGTGAGTGAATGCACCCATTATTTAAAGGGAATCGCATAATCACTACCAACAAGTAGGGGTTGAGTAGGTTACCTTTGCTCAGGAATTATACCTCCTGTCTACTTTCTCCCTCTTCCAGAAAAACAAGATATGATCATGCTTCTTCTCTGCTTTTACCCGCTGGGCTGTCTCCCCTTACAGGAGCGAGTTCAAGAGGACAGGGATGACCCAGAGCCACCGCTTGTCACACGCCCATTTGGCCACGCCTCGCAGGTTGGTGCCATAATGCCATGGCGTTGCTTAGAAATTGGTTTGCATTGCGTAGTCACTAGCCCTTCCACCTCATCTCTGGTTTTCCTCCACTTCTCCTGCTCGTTGCTGTCTCTCCTTCCCTCCCCGCTTCCTCCTGTCACTGATGTTTCTCCTCCTCTTTCCACCCAAAACTAAAACTCTCCAGGAGATTGTGAATCTGCTGCTGTGCGGTGAGGCAGTGGCGAACGTATTTGATGGTACCATGGACTTGGGAGGAGGCATGGCGCTGAAAGGAATTCCCTCAGAGGCCCAAGTCGGCTTCCTCACACTCCTCGAGTCCCTCAACCTCTGCAAGGTCGGGCAGCGGCTGAAACATCCCAAGCTGCCCATCTGGGTGGTGGGCAGCGAATCGCACTATACCGTGCTCTTTGCGCTTTCGACTGAAGTCCAGGAGGAGAACGATGCAGAAGCAGAAGAGTCGCGGGTCAGAGAGGTGTTTGACCGGTTTGATACCAGCGGGGGAGGGGGTTTTGTCGCTGTGGAGTCGCTACAGCCCATGCTGGCTGAGCTGAGGGTAAATTTCCCTCCGGAAACAATAGACTCGCTTTCGGCGCTGGGGGTGATTGTGTGGAACGAGCTGTGGCAGGCTCTGCTGAAGCTGGACCGATCCCAGGGGGGGTTCAAGAGAGAGGGGTCGAGTGGGGGTCGACCTGCCAGCAGGAAGTTTGACTTGTATCATTTCAATGGGATTGCAAAGCGGGTGCAGACAGTAAGCAGCACTGCAACAGGAGCAGGAGTGTCTGGAGGAAATGGAGCAGGGAACATGTCGTATGGCGGTTTGGATGTGCCGCAACGTGTGCTATCACCGCCGTTGACTGCAGTGGATCAACGGCCGAGATTAGTCCGGCTTCATGTGACTGTGCCGCCCAAATGGTCGCCGGAAGATCTGATGATGATACCAAGGCCGGATGGCAGTGGGGTGGAGGAAATTCCTGCTGAGGTGGTGGCAGACTCGTTCGATTCTAGTGTGAATCCTATGCAACGTGCTTCGCGTGAAGCTCCCCTTGTGGATTGTATCCGCACTCGATGGCAGCGAGCGTCGTGCACATGGGTAGGGGATGCGCCATCTATTGTGTAGTGATTACTAGGTGGTTGTGTTTTTGTGTGTGTATTCTAGTTGGAATCGCTGGAGTTAGGTGTTTGGCATGGATGGATGGAGGCAATCCAATCCATGCATGTTGAGCTGCATGCCCTGTTTGTCCGAACCAATATCCTTTTACCATGTGTGAAACACGGTGGATAACAAGCATCCGTTGGGATGCAAAAGATGGGCTAGCAAAATTCCATAAGTTATACCCAAGTGAGCGGTTTGAATGTTATTTAAGAGTTTAGGGTCTTGTAGAACACTTAAAGTTATGGCACTGAAATTACACTTATCGGTTCGGTACTGCAGGGCGTGAAATTGGCGAGGACTAGGTGTATGGGCACTGTCAAATGATATATATGTGTGATATATATTGGTAGGCTGTAGTGGGGTAGATGTTATAGGGGATAACACTTTAGGGTTGTGTTATTTTGTACCAAACTCTCGATAGTCAATCCAACCTTGCCTGATTCTCTCGACATGGCATCTAGAGCAGGTTCCTAGACCTAAGCTTAAGGGCCCACCATGTACTAAGTTACCTCCCCAACGGCCTGCCTACCTGCCTTACATACGTGTCTGCCTAGCCTGCTGCCCGCGCGCGCCTCGGCTGCGCGCGCACGCCTTTTTTTTACCGCGCACAGCTGCTGCCAGCCGCGTCGCGCCCCGTAGGTCGCTTGTGCAGCCCGCCTTGCGCCCGCGCGGCCCGCAGCTGCCCTGCGCACCGTCCGTGCAGCCCGCGCCGAGCCCGCACGGCCCGCACTGAGCCCGCGCAGCCCGCGCGCAGCCCGCGCCTAGCCCGCGCGGCCCGCACTGAGCCTGCGCAGCCCGCGCGCAGCCCGCACGCGGCCCGCGCACCGCCCGCGCAGCTCACGTCGCGCCCCGCCAGCCTGCGCGCGGCCTGTCACTGATCTGCGTGTTTCCTTACCTGCTCGCATTGCGCCTGTATCAACTGCCTACCTGCTACGGTTGCCTGTTGCCTGTGCCTGCTGCCTGAGCCTGCTGCCTGAGCCTGCTGCCTGAGCCTGCAGCCTTTGCCTGCTGCCTGAGCCTGCTGCCTGAGCCTGCTGCCTGAGCCTGCTACTTTTGCCTGCGCTGCAACCATGGCGACCCTTACTGTTCTCGCCTTTGAGTCTGACGGCCGCCCCATCGAGTTTGACACCTGGCTTAGTGACCTGCGCCTTTACCTTATGACTGACGTCGCAGACGGAGTGTCACTGCTAGCCTATGTGACCGGCACTGTCCCTACTCCCGCTGAGACTGCTCCTGCCCCTGAACGAGCACAGTGGGAGCTCCGCGATGCAGTCGCGCGCCTTGTTATTCGCAATCACCTACCGATCTACGAGCGCGCGCATTTCAACCAGCTTAAGACTGCTCAGACGCTGTATGATGCTGTCGTTGCCCGCTATTCCGCCCCGGCCACAGCCACCGTTGGTAGTCTCATCCTGCCTTACCTGTTCCCAGACTTAGCCTCGTTTCACACTGCTGCCGACCTTATCACTCACCTCCGCGCTAGTGACGCCCGCTTTCGAGCCGCTCTTACCGACGAGTTCCTCGCCACGAACCGCCCCCCGCTGTACTTCACCCTCTACATCCTCGTCACCCGCCTCCCTGACACTCTTCGTTCTGTCAGGGATTACTTCCTTGCCAAGGATCCTCCAACTATCACTCTGGACGACTTCGAGCAGCAGCTGGTCGCAGCAGAGAAGAACATCCTCGCTGTCGGTGCTGCTCGTGGCACTCCCCGCACTCCCCTCTTTGAGGGGTGCTCCCCCTCCCCTCTTGACCCCTCCTACGCCTCTGCTGCTACTGCTGTCGACTTCCTCGGTGCGGAGAAGGTCGCAGCGGCTTCCGCTCCTGGTGGGAAGCGTGGTGGTGGCAGGGGCGGCAAGGGTGGCAGGGGTGGCGGAGGTGGCGGTGGAGGGAGCGGTGGTGGAGGCGGCGGGGGTGGTGGAGGTGGTGGGGGTGGCCGTGGGGGTGGAGGCGGTGGGTGGGGTGGCGGCAGGACCGGGGGCGGTGGAGGCGGCGGCGGCGGTGGTGGGGGAGGAGGCAGCGGCAGTGGCGGTGGAGGTGGGAGTGGGGGTGGATCTGGCCAGAAGGGTGGCCAGCAGCAGCAGCAGCAGCAGCAGCAGCAGCAGCCACAGCAGCAGCAGCAGCTTCCTCCCCTCACCTCCCAGCAGCTCAATGACTGGTATGCTGGGCGTGGGGCGTCTCGGGGTTCTGACCGCTGCCCCTATGTCATTCGTACTGGCCCCCGCAAGGGTCGCCCCTGCAACGGTTTTCACACTGAGTATCGTTGTTTTGCTAGGCTTAGTGACGCCTGGCGTACCAAGTATCCTGATGCTACTGAGTTCCCCAACTGGGCAGAGCTGCTTAGGCGTGATGTGCCTATCTTTGATCTGGACTATGATGTTATTCTTGCTGCCATGTATGCATTGACTGTTAGTGCTGAGGGTGACTGCTACTTGTGTGTGCCGCCTGACCCTGGTATTGACCCCGGTATAAGGGCTGCAGCCCTAGGTGCTAGTGAGTCTGCTCCCCTTGGTACTGAGTCGGCTCAGGCCTTGCACACGTTTACACTTGACTCTGGTGCTTCCCGCTGTTTCTTTCGCGATAGCACCACCGTCACTCCCCTCCCTGCACCTGTCCCTGTCTCCCTGGCTGACCCCTCTGGGGGCCCAGTGCTTGCACGAGCCACGACTGTGCTCCCGTGCCCGGCGGTCCCGTCTGGTGAGCTGTCAGGTCTCCACGTTCCCTCGTTCTCTACGAACCTGGTGAGCAACGCCGTCCTCCAGGATCACTGGGTTGACACCTGGACTCCTGGAGGGCAGCGTGTGGCGATCTGCACGTGCTCCAAGACTGGCCGCCACCTGGCCACGTTCACTCGTGAGCCGGGGTCCAGTCTGTACACCCTCACCACTGTTTCACGCTCCGCTCCTTTGTCTCCGCAGCTGTACGCGTCTGCTCAGGTAGCTACCCAGTGTGAGTGCCGCCGCCTGTCGCACGACACGCTCCTGTGGCACCACCGCCTTGGTCACCCCTCCCTTCCTCGCCTTCGTAGCATGCACTCTCGCTCTCTGGTCTCTGGGCTTCCCAGGTCTCTGCCTGCCCTCCCTCCCTCGCCTGCGCCGCCCTGCATTCCCTGCGTCGAGGGGCGGCAGCGCGCCGCTCCTCACTCCTCCTCGTTTCCTCCCACAGAGGCTCCCCTGCAGACGCTTCACCTGGACGTGTGGGGCCCAGCCCGCGTCCAGGGACAGGGCCGTGAGCGGTACTTTCTGCTGGTTGTCGACGACTACACGCGTTACACCACGGTCTTCCCCTTGCGCAGCAAGGGAGACGTCCCTGCTGTTTTGATCCCCTGGATCCGCGCTGTGCGTCTCCAGCTCCGCGAGCGGTTCGAGCGGGACTTTCCTGTCCTGCGTCTGCACTCTGACAGAGGTGGTGAGTTCTCCTCTGACCTCTTGGCAGCCTTCTGTGCAGAGCACGGCATCACCCAGTCGTTCACGCTTCCGGCCTCTCCGCAGCAGAATGGGGTTGCTGAGCGCCGCATTGGCTTAGTCATGGAGGTCGCTCGTACCTCCATGATCCATGCGGCGGCTCCCCATTTTCTGTGGCCGTTCGCGGTCCGGTACGCCGCGCATCAGCTCAACCTCTGGCCCCGTGTCTCCTTGCCGGAGACCTCGCCCACGCTGCTGTGGACGGGGGAGGTTGGCGATGCGTCGCGTTTCCGGGTCTGGGGTGCTCGTGCCTTTGTCCGCGATCTCGCCGCGATCAAGCTCTCTGCTCGCGCCATTCCCTGCGTCTTCCTTGGTTTTCCTCCTGACGCGCCTGGCTGGCAGTTTTACGAGCCCACCTCGCGCCGTGTCTTTGCGTCTCAGGACGTCACCTTTGACGAGTCTGTTCCCTTCTACCGTCTCTTTCCCTACCGCACTGCCTCTCGCCCCCCCCCGCCGCTCTTTCTCGCTCCAGGTCCTCCCCAGGTAGACCCCCTCCCCGCGCCAGGTCCTGCTCCTTCAGGTGTTTCTCAGGTAGACCCCCCGGTACCTGCGCCTGTTGAGGTCACTGGTGACTCAGGTCCTGCTGGAGGTGGTCCTGCTCGGGGTGCTGTCTCTGGGGGTGCTGAGCCTGGGGGTGCGGAGCCTGAGCGAGAGGCGCCTAGAGGTGCTGAGCCTGGGGGTGCGGAGTCTGGGGGTGCCGTGCCTGCGCGTGAGGAGCCTGGAGGTGCTGAGCTTGGGGGTGTCGAGTCTGAGGGTGCTGTGCCTGCGCGTGAGGAGCCTGGAGGTGCTGAGCTTGCGGGTGCCGAGTCTGCGGGTACTGAGCCTACGCGTGTGGAGCCTGGAGGTGCTGACGCTGGAGGTTCTGGAGCAGTTGGGGGTGCTGGCGCTGAGGGTTCTGAGTCTGCTGTTGCACGGTCTCCTTGGAGTAGCCGCCTTCGTCCACGGGTGCCTCTCACCCCACAGCAGCTGCAGGACTGGTACGGTCACCGTCAGCGTCGCGCTGCTGGAGCTAGGAGTGGTGCTGGACCTTTGTCTACTGGAGGTGCTGGAGTCGCTGGTTCTGGAGGTGCTCGTACTGGAGACACTGAGGCTGGAGACCCTGGGACTGGAGGTGCTGGCTCTGGAGGTGCTGCTGCTGGAGACACTGAGGCTGGAGACCCTGGGACTGGAGGTGCTGGTTCTGGTGGTGCTGCTGCTGGAGACACAGAGGGTGGAGACCCTGGGACTGGAGGTGTCGGCTCTGGGACTGGAGCTTCTGGAGCTGCTGGAGGTACTGGAGCTACTGGAGGTACTGGAGCTGCTGGAGGCACTGGAGCTGCTGGAGCTGCCGGTACTGATGCAGCTGCGCCGACACGACTGTTCTTCGCTCCGCCGTCTCCGTCGTCTCTGCCGCCGTCTGACTCTGTTCTTCGTCAGGTTCTTACTCTCTCGTCGTCTACTGGTCTTCCGTTACAGCCTGGCTCACCGCTGCCTGCTCCTTCTCCTTACACTGAGCAGACT